ATTAATGGTCTTTGTCCTTTAGAACTGCCCCATAGCCTTCCTCTGTAGGAAAATGCTCTGATGCAGCTCTCCCCAACTGTTACAAGCAACTTTAAATCAACTGCTGGATCTGTCCTCCCCTGCCCAATGACTCTGACCATGATTTGATGATCATTTCCCTTAACTATACCAAGAAGTCTTTTGGAAACAGCAGGGGATGGCCAAACTCCTACATGTTCCATATTTGCCCCACTACTGTTCCCAAAGCTCAGGCTCAGTTCATGAGGTGGATAATTACCACTCAACTGGCATTCAGGTGCACATGACAAACAGAATGGTTTGAGCTGATTGCCCTCAGACAATCCCTCCAAAAAACAAGGACCAGGTTCAATCAGGGAAAGGGGGAAGCCACATCTGAGGCTTGTGCCCCTGAATGATGAAGGTCCTACTCTAGGGCACCAACAATTGTAAACAACACTTTCTTTCCAACCCACCTATATGCCCCATGGACCATACTTCTTGTATGAGAGCCAGGTACTAACTTCCCTCCCTAAAAGTATGACGACTTGGCACTTCAGGGGTGGGTAGAAGAGATCATCTAGTTTTTAAGGAAACACGACTAATAGATCAGTTTAGTTCTCAGATGACTGGAGTGATGATCTCTCCAAAATAAGGCAACTTTTGGGTACTTGGGGGAGTTTCCTAGAAGAATAACTGACTTATTATGTGTGCTCCATGGGTAGTTTTCCCTACAATGGGAATCATCCAAATTAAAAAGGTGATACAAAATTTGTGCCTCACTTAAGCCTATGTGATCAATGATACCACTTGGGTCCTGGAAGTCATTCATGTCAGCCTCAAATCACTGGTTAGGGTTATTATGGATGATAGACTTGCCCTAGACTTCCTCCCAGTGGGGCAATGCAGAGGCTGTGCAAGTGCTAAAAGATCTTGCTATACTTGGATTAATGCTTAAGACTAAGTGGAAAAGTCAACACAGAGACTAAAGATAAAAGCTACCTGGCATTCTAGGGATTTACCTTAGGGGAGTGAATGGATGGTTAAACTCAGCACTGCAGGGTGGCCACATCCTCCTGCTTCAAGTTCTGTTTATAGTTGCCTTAATTAAACCCAGTGTGGAAAAAAACCTGAATGGATTAGGACCCAGTCCCTATTGATCAGATTAATGAGAGTGCTCATAGAGTAGTATACTCGTGGAAAAATTTACCAGAAGCTAAAATAATGTAGAAACAAAGATACTGTTGGAAGATAACTCTCCACGGATCCCTCATGTTTCTGTAAGTCTTATAAACAAAGATACCTTTGTTCTGGATCTTTTCAAGGTTGTCTGCATAGCAAATAGCCTTAGCAGAGAATGCTTGTCTTCTCAAGTGGAGGAAAGGTTCATTTATTACCCACTATAATAAAGATAATGGCCCCTCCGGGCAGGTTTGCTTGCAGCTCATTATAAAAAAACTTCAGTTTCCTCAAATGTAATGCAAATCACTGTGAGTACAGCACACACCTAAGGCCACTGTTGTCACCCCTAAGGGATTTGGGTGGGGGCTGAGGAGGGAAAGAAAAATTGATATGAGCATGGAGCTCATGCTGCTCCTTATGCTGTGAGAGAAATGAAGTCCCCTCTCTCTGACTCAGGAGTCTCCTGTCTTCTGCCAGCATTCAAAAAAACTGGCAGGCCAACTTACAGCTTGCAAATAGGATAAAATCTCAGACCCTTCACAGTTCTTGACAATAACCCAATTTAAAAATGGGCAAAAAATCTAGACACCTTGCCAAAGAAGACAAACATATGGCAAAAAAGCACATGAAATAATGCTCATCATTAGCTGTAAGGGAAATGCAAACTAAAACCACTATATACCTACTAGCACAGCTAAAATGAAAAGGCCTGATCATACCAAGAATTAGCAAGGCTGTGGAGCAATGGGAACTCTCATACACTGCAAGTTGGAATGTAAAATGGCACAACAATTTGGAAAACAGTTTAGCAGTTTCTTAAAAAAAAATTAAACACACCTACTATACAACCCAGCTATTCCACTCCTAGGTATTTACTGAGAAATGAAAGAACAGCCACTTTATTCTTAATAGTTGGAAACACCATCAACAGGTGGTACAGCCATAACAATGGAATACTACTTGGTAATAAAGGGAACGAAATAGTAATACCCACAACAACAATGACAAATCTCTAAAACATAATGCTAAATGCAAAATGTCAAACACAAAAACAACACTGTAGGAGTCCATTTATACGACATCCTAAATAAAATACAACTATAGTGATAAAGATCAAATCAATGGATAACTGAGGCTGGGGATCAGGGTCGACTAGAGTCATAGAAAACTTAGGATGATGGAAATGTTCCCTTATCTTGATTATGGTGGTGATTACACCACTGTATACAACTGCCAAAATTCAAACTCAATATTAATCTGGTGAATTGTTTTACATGTAAATTATACCTCAACAGGTTGGAGAGGAAAAATCTGTAAGGCAACTGTTGCCTCCCATCAAATATCAAGAACCCTCTCCTACAGTTTCTAATAAACAATAATGCAACTCCAGCAAAGCAAAATAAGGTCCTTATACTTTCCTCAGTGTCATTCAAAAAGCTGACACTATATTCCAAAAATACTTGCATAATGCGAATGTGAGAAGAGCACCTAATTCACCTTTTGTATCTGCAAAAATTATATAATAATCTCAATACAGAACTGCCTTAACCAATTTAACCACAACTAAATTAATTTTTATTCCTAAATTGCATTATAAAGAGCCAATACATATAACGTTGCTGTCTTCCTGTTTGTAAAGAACTCTTTACAAACAGGAAGAGTATAGTGCATGTCTAACTGGTTCAAGAAACAATTCAACATGTTACTCTAAAAAGCACTCACTTATGGTTGTAATTACTGTTATAATAATAAATCTTCTAAAAGGTTCCAAATAAATAGGCTTGGGAAAACAGCTGTGCCCAGTTGTTCTTACCTTCATCTCCCAATGACTATACACATGAACTCAATTCCTAACCCTCCCAAATCCAACCTAGAGTATTGTCAGAATAAGTTCCACTGTTCTGCCGCCAAGAACTTTCCCCATAGTGATATACCACTCACTACTATGAGCAGCAAGGGGACCACACAGATAGAACATTTTTCCAGAAGGTTCTCATCCAGGATTTAACCACAAATCTGATGTTGCCCCATCCATACTGTATTCTCTTTACTTCATTTTGAAAAGGCATGACATCATCAGATAATAACATAACCTCAACACACCTCGATTTTGTTGCCCATGTCTCAGCTCTCTCTACAGAAGAGTACTGATCTGGTCTTAGCATGCACCCATCCATCCATTCACAAATGTGTACCACACACCTACTATGTGCCAGGCACTAGGCATTAGAGAATACGTACACATCAAGCTCTTGGTTTAATCCCAAATTCTGTCATCAAACTAATTAAAATGGAGAAATGGTACTTTTGGATGATTATAGTTCAATTATTTCTTAGAATTATTCTAAATTATATCTTCTAACTGAACCACACCAGTGACTTGGACTAAATTATGCTACTCCATTTGCAATTGATTTTACCAAACTGCACTTTAGTGTTATAGCAATGACCTATACTAAGATCATGAGTTGGGGCGCCTGGGTGGCTCAGTCGTTAAGCATCTGCCTTCGGCTCAGGTCATGATCCCAGGGTCCTGGGGTCGGGCTCCCTGCTCAGCAGGAAGCCTGTTTCTCCCTCTCCCACTCCCCCTGCTGTGTTCCCTCTCTCGCTGTGTCTCTCTCTGTCAAATAAATAAAATCTTTAAAGAAAAAAGAAAAAGAAACAGAGCCAGGAAATATTTATAAGACCAGTTCACATTTAGAGTACTATATGCCAGACACCATGCTAAGCACTTTAGATGCATTAATTCATTCAACCCTCACAAGTAATCCTATGTAGAAAGTACCATTATCCCCATTTGACGGATGAGGAAGCCAAGCTGCTGACAGGCCGAGTAACTTCATAAAGGCCACACAGTGGTAGAGCCAGGATATCATCCAGGCAAACAGACTCCAGAGCTCTTGTTCTCAGTCACTATATTACAGTACCACTATTCTTTACACAAGATGTTGGAAGTCTTTATTCGTTATATCATTTAATGTTTTCTTAATACTTTCTACGAGAAATTTTGTGTCTTAATACCAGGAATGGCTCCTAAGCAACTGGTTTGTTCTCGTAACCATGAATAATGTAACTTAGGATTTTTCTTTCCTTTTTCTTTGCACTAGGTGCTTCAGAGTTCAGAGCTAGATTTAGCTCATCTAGCAAGTATACAGACTTAAATGGCATGCATACTGGCTACCATATTTCTAACTTCACTGATCATCGCCCCCATCTGGTCTATTAATCTTCATCCATTTCCTTACTTATTTTTAAGCAGTACTAGGTTAATCTTGGTAAACCAAACCCTTTTTAGAGTATGGCTTGGTGCAATTAACAATTAACAACTCAAATCCAACAAAACAGTTTACAGGGACACAAACAACTCCTTTAAATGCTGCCTCGTCCTCCTTATTTTACTAGGTACAAAACGTGCTACTTTAGTTATCCTTAGCAGTTTTTACATAAGGACAAGAAATCAAGTGTGGGAGAAAGAGCAATCAGTATCCAGAATTTTATAGATCCTTAAATATTCTTACTTTTAAAATGTCAGTTCTTGGGCGCCTGGGTGGCTCAGTTGGTTAAGCGACTGCCTTTGGCTCAGGTCATGATCCTGGAGTCCTGGGATCGAGTCCCGCATTGGGCTTCCTGCTCAGCAGGGAGTCTGCTTCTCCCTCTGACCCTCCCCCCTCTCATGCTCTCTATCTCATTCTCTCTCTCAAATAAATAAAATCTTTAAAAAAAAAATGTCAGTTCTTTATGGTATAACACATATAATAAAATCTTGACTAACAAGGTGTACATGACCGAATATAACTGTGTGTTGCTAAGAAAGTAATTACCTGACTTCAAGGGCTTTGATAGCTTCTAGCATTTGTAGAAACTCTGCTGCTTTCCATACATCATTGGCTTCTTCTTCTCCTTGTATCATTAATTTTGCTGTATATGTGAACTCAATTAAATGACGGAAGGCCATTTTACTAACACCTGTAAAAAAAAGATGTGCATTAGCATATATGCATGTTGATTCAAATCTTCTAACATTAGTAAAGAAAAAAAAGCTCAGTGTTTGAAACCTGGTTAGTATCTGAATTTTGGAAAATTATTTCCTGGTGAAATTCTTATTAACAGTACAGTAAGACTGTACCAAGTTCCAGCAGTAACTACCAAACTATTTTAAGATCTTTCCCCAAAATTTTTTATAACAGTAAAACCTACCACTCAAATACATGAATGGGTTATTACAGGTCAGACATGCTACTTTCCTGCCAGGGATCTCTGCACCAACTCAGCTCCAAATCTTCAAGGGCTTTCCACAGCTCAGCAAATAAAGTTCCATACCACTCTGCCTTTATTTCAAGGTACTTCATGTTATTTTTCTATTTACCACTATTTTTCCCTTCCAAATTTTAAACTCTATAAATCCCATACTATATACTGATCTTCAAACCCTTCATTTCTAAAGCTTCCTTGCCTTTATTAATATTTACCCTCCTTCCTGAATGCTTAATCACTTTATCTCTGTACAAATCCTAGCACCCTTGAAGGCCCAATTCTAATGCCACATACTTAATGAAACTTTCTTTAATGCTCCTCCCCACCCCACCGGCTGAACTCTGTACTTGTTCTGACAATTACAACTCATGGGCATCTCTTGACTCTAAGCTACTTGAGGGAAATGATTTTTGTTTCTGTACACTCACTTCACAGTATCTAACACAATGCTCCCTAAGATGCAGACACAAAATAGGAATGAATAAGAGCTAAAGTCACTTTCAAAATTAAGCTTCCACAATTCCAATTTTTCTTTACAAGTTTTATGTTTAAATTTTGGCCCAAAAGATACTCTATTTCTTTGTGCTCTTCAATGCTATATATTATTATTTCAATCTGCTAATACAAGTCTACAAAAATCTACTGAAACAAAGAAAAACTACTTTATTTTTAAAAGATTTTTAAGTACTCTCTACACCCAACTTAGGGTTTGAACATACAACCCCAATTATCAAGTCACACGCTGCACCGACTGAGGCAGACAGGCACCCCAGAAGAAAACTATTTTTAACACAGAATTTTTACACTAAGAAATGTCCATGTCCAAACTGCACACAATATACACAACTGCAAATACAAAAATGCTTTTATGTTCTTCCTAGGCACTTTATACACCTGAATAAGCAAACTAAAAATAACTGGATTCTTTGAAGGTTACTTTGAGTCTCCTAAATCTTTATTCTCCTGGTTATCTTTTGACAATGTTATTCTTTATTATATGAGAGTAACTAAAAATTTTTTTAAGGAGTTTTAACCAAATATTTAAAAGTGCAACAAAACTCCTTTCTAAAAACCTGTAAATTTTTCTTGAAGTGGAATAAGACTTTGATTTTTTAATCAAACACACACATATAATACTGCAAATATCAAGCACGACTCCAAACACCTCACAAGTATTAACATGACAATCCCATGGAGAACTTTATTGTAATCTCCATTTTACAGATAGGAAAACTGAGGCACAGAGATATTAATAACTGTGACTTTGGCAAGTTACTTAAGTGATGAAAACTAGAATCAACCCTCGATGGCCCACCTCCTAAGTCCAAAATAAAGATTTTTACATAAGATGATGGCAGGAAACATGCCAGCCTGGAAGAGTTTGAATACCTATGACTTCATTCACTGCAGGCCCACAATCTCTTATTCATAATCCCAAAGTCCCCCAAATCTCTTAAGACCAGGAATTTTCCCATAAATTTGGCAGCAAAATTTGATTTGAACTGACATGGGACTATTTACAGTCTTTATCCCATTTAGAGTAAATATTAATATGCTACTCTTCCAAAATATTATTTGGTTACAGGATGTCACCCTAAGACCCCTTTGGGAGTAATGTAATACACAGACTGCATTATCTTAGAAAATTTGTAATTTCAAGAAACATCTGGCCTCCAAGGATTTGAATAAGGAACTGTAGACTTAGTTCCCAATTTTGGTTAATTAGAATCATTGTAAACTTAATAAAAGCATGGGTCTCTGATCTTCAGGATCAAAACTGGAATAGGGAACCTTTTTTTATAAGCATCTTAGGTGCTTCTTAAGTTGCCAGTCCAGCACTAGTCCTAGGAATAAATCACTGACCTAATTAACTAACATGAACCAAACTGATACCACCTACCCAGGTAAGTGAGGTGGTGACAGATGATACACAGTTGCAAAAACATTATTCTCCATCAGGACTAGTCTGGTAACTTTCAAATTTCAGCCCACTTTCTAATTAACCCCTTGCTCCTTTCATAACAGAAGTGTGCAGGAGAACACAAATTTTTCTGAGTATCTAAAGAAACCGTTAATATGAACACCTTAACCTGCATCTTCTTTTTTTCACTTGGGAAGAAGCAAAAGAGGGCAGCATTCTAAATATATAGAGTGAGGTCATTATTCATATTTTACAGATGGGGGTTCCAATTCTAACTAAGACAAAGAAAGCACACTCTACCACTCCATACTCCATCTTGTCCACCGCTTACAATCATAAGTCCTGGGAAGAATACATAAAGCAAATATATAAGGATTCTGAAAGATAAACAGAAGCAAGCAGGCTGGGGAGAGAAATCAAAACTCAAAGAAGAGCACTGAGTTTCCTGCGTTTTTATTTTTCCTCAAATATATCCCAGCTTAGACTTGAAGACAGCCCAAATCCCATTTCTGGGTAGGAGGAACAGACAAAAAAGCCAAAGAAACTCTTTCTGGCTAGAGAACCAGGAAAGGGAATGTAGAGTATGAGTGGGGCAGGAAATCCTTGGTTATTATTCCTCTTAGCCCTGCCTCAAAGCAAGTTCCAGTTCTGATGCTGCCCACCTGTGCTGGTGGCCACCAAGCAGGCACTAAATTCTGAGAGGAAGTTTTTCTTTCTGACGATAACTAGGAAATGGACGATGATCTGAAGAGCATGGAGAGAAATCTTATTTTTTTTCTCTCATCACTTTGTCTAGGAAACAGATCCCACTGTGGGAAGCATATGACAGCACAAGGATGCTAAAACCCCAGTTTTCTAGCCAGACGATCAGGGAAAGTTGCTCCTAAGAGCTTAAGTGCAGAAGAAGTCAGAAGAGGGAACTAGAAGAAGGTCCTCTGTGAATGAAGTCTTGCTCTAGCCACCAACTTACACACGTGTAGAACTGAGCTGAGGCAGCAGAGCAAAGGGTTTGAGTACCGCACTATGATGCGGTCTACCACCCAGGTCGGCACACCTGGGATCTGAACATCACAACAAAAGTTGTGAAAACTAAATTGGAATTGCATCCACAATCCACATAAGGCAGTCTGAACCTAAAGCAGGTTGACTGCCTGCTAGAAACAAAACAAACCAAAATCAACAAAACAAAAAGCATTCTTCGGAGGACTTTAACACAGACTGTCATTGTATTCAAAATGCTCATGACATAATAGAAAATTACTTGACGTATCTTACAGATTTGAAAGAAAAAAAAAAAGGAAGCCAACACGTTCAAGTTTATACAACAGACAACAGTAAAGAAAACTCAGGTTTTCGAATTACATGCCCAGGGCTTTCTCAATAGCCAGGTGACCTAGACAGGTTGTACAGTGATCCCAAAGTTAATGGCTTAAGAAAACACTGAACCACATTGATTTTTTAAACCTGAATCTGGCAAATAACAAAAACAGAAATGTTCTTACATTCTGTTTTCTCATTTGTCTATGTTAAATACTAAAGGCTTCTATGTGCTCTACTATAGTGGAGACAGTAGATCAGAGGTATTAAAAGGCACAAGAAACAATCTTAAGGTGATTAGTCTTTAGAAGAGAAGACCCTACTTCTCCAGGTATACTCCTTGCTCCAAAAGCAAAGCATATTCTAGCCTAGGCCACTTACTGACTGTTTAAGATTCTGCTTTAAAAGCAGAAGTCAACTCCTCTTGGAAATCTTCCCTCTCTAAGGTGGACTAAACTACTCATTCTCTCTCTTCAGCTACACCATTCCACAATAAAAGTCTCTGTAACACTTTTTGCACTCCTTTCTATATCTGTTGCTAATCTGTGATTAAATTTGCAAATTCTTTAAGGGCTGTCTTATTCATCAATTCTTCATTTCCTGGGTCAAGTATAGTGCAAAACATGTAACAGGTATTCAAAATTTGGCAAATAGCCCCAATTTATTAAGCTTTGACAATGCACCAAACACTATGCTCAGCACTCTGCATATGTTACTTCAATTAATCATTACAAGCCTATAAAGTAATGAGGACGCTTCAGATGAGGCGGCAAATATGCAACTGAAGTAAAGTTACCTGCCTGGTGTCACACAGTACCTCAGGTAAATGAATGGATGAAATCTTGCCCTGTAATAGAAACCAATACCGTATAGGCAGCTAGATTCTCACTTTAGTAAGCCTCGTGGATTTCCATTATGCCTGTGGCTCTGTCCATCACAGATAATGAAAAGATAATCTATGGATATATCAGCCAGAATGCTAGATAAACTGGAATGTACCAAAAAAAAAAAAAAAAAAAGGAACAAGCTTAACTTTTTCATTTTCTTTACTCCCCAGGGCACCAAATTTCCCCAAGGGGATAGTGTTTCTAGGCAACTCATTCATAACAAAGAATATATACAACCATGAAAAAGATACAAAACCAAAACGCAAGAACACTGAAAGAACTAAAATTCTGTATTTACTTAGGCAAGCTTATTTATTTCCTACAGTTTTGGATGGCAGGGAGGGGTAGGTAATGTAGCAATATAAGACAAAAGCATAGTAATTAATAGTACAAAGTGAATCCCTTGCTAGCTGGGCAACACTGAGCATGTAACCATTTACAGCCTGTTCCCTGATGTGTTAATTGGAAATAATACCACTTATTTCAAAGGATGGCTGTAAATCACAGCAGAGGCACACAAACTGCATAGCACTATAGCTGGCACTTGAGAAGCTATTATTATAAAAGTCAAGCAAGTACAAAAATCACTTTCTACTTTAAGGCAGTATCTATTGAATGATTCCTTCCATCCCAGACTCTATCCACTAGAACTTCTGAATGCTACTTCAGTTCATCTTTCCTAGCCTTTTCCGTATTGTGGCAGCCCACTTCATTTTGTGCATGTCATATGTACCTCTGCTAGTAAAGAACCTTCTACTGTAACCTGCATAACCTACCTACTGTAACCCACCGGTCTGAAACTTTAGCCCACTGAACAAAGATGGGAATTCACTTTTAATACGTTTTCAAAAGAGAATGACCACTGGTTTTAGAAGTGGAAGAGACTCCTTTAAGAGACCAACAGCTACCATCTAATGTAAGAGGTTTTCCTGACAGATCATTTTACCAAGCAATTTACTAAAAGTAAGAATTCTCAAGTGTCAAAAGAACAATTTATCCAGTCGCCTAATAGGAACCACTGATGCCTATTTCCCATGGTATCTTGCTAAATTAACTAACACTTCTTCATCAATTAAAATGTTCGCTAAGTATTGTATTTAAAACAAGCATTTACCTTCTATCTCCACCAAAGGTTCCTGAGTAAACTCCTGAAAGAATTTGTAGAAGAACTTACTGCAAGCAGCCAAAACAGCCTTGTGGGCCTTAAAATGGTGTCCTAGATTAAAAAGAAAAAAAAAAAAGAGTCACATATATTCAAAAATCAAAAGTAAAACCAAAAAACAAAGTAAGAAATTATGTAAAGTAGACCTTTCTCCATAATATAATCATAAGACTATATAAATTACTGAACTAAAGTCAGAATGTTCTTAGCGGCTATCTTAACAAATTTCAATCTTAATTAGACACAAAGCCAGATCTTTACCTCAAAGACCTTATTAAGTCAGTTTTATAAAAACCAGTTTACAAAACTAAAAGAGGTACGGAGCTTCTTACCACTTAAAGAGTCAAAGGTATATCCTATTCATTTAAAACTGCTAAATATAAACACAACCCAAAATGTTACATACATCATTTGGGAAAAGAGAAGAAAAAGCCATAGAATAAGCATAAAGCTGGATCTATTTGTTATGGAAAACATGTTAACATGCCTAATATTTGGAAGCAGCAGACCTACAATGCAGCAGATCTATAATAAAGAATAGCCTGCCTTGAGATGCCTATTTTCACTAAATAGAAGTTACCCAAGCTGCGTCTGCCTCCACTATAATGACAACTCCTAATACTGGTAAAGACCCCATTTGATTTGGCTTCCCAAAGAGGGTACCAGCGCTGCAAAGGAATCTCACATTCTCCTTCCAAGACCATCTGGGAAACTAGAAAGAATCAACACTTCCCAAATGATTGCTGTGAAAGGCTCCTCAAAACAGCTTATGAATAGAAGGCTATTATCCAAACATTTAGAGATATCCTCCCTATCTCCAACACCATCATCTTGCACTCCAGTGTGCAATGGGAAAACTTAAAAAGCCTGCGAAAAAGTTAAGATGCGATGATTATGTTTAAAGCGTGACTAGCCAACTAGCCTTCTGCAACATGGTCTACGTGAGTGGACACTGACAAGTCCCCCACCCAGGTCCCAGCGCACACTCAAAAGGCACAGGCCATAGAGGGTGGGTATAAAAGGCGGGTGGGGGAAGGGGAGATAAGAACGGAAGCCACAAATTCGCTGCTCTACCCACCACCCTACCCACCGTCGACAATCAGGGTGATGTCAGTAAACCGATCCTGCTCCCGCTGTTCATTCAATCGGTCCAGGATCATTTTATGATGTTCCGGGAACTCCTGAAGGCATTCCATCGTCTCTTCGGCCTCCATGGCCGTCGGGCTGCTCTACAAAAGAGGAGCATGATAATGTACACCCATGAGCTCGGGCTGAGGCACAAAACCCCTAAAGCTTAAAACAACAAAAAGCAAAACCCCAGCTACGTGAAAAGAAGGGGGGAGGGTGAGGCAAGAGGAGAGGAAGGCGAGGGAAGAAAGAAAGGCGAGCCGGGTGGCCGCCGCGCGTTGGGGGCCGGAGCCGCGGCCGCGGGACTCCGAGCCTGACCTAATTGGAGTCGGGAGACGCGAGCTGAAGCGGGGTGGGCAGAGCGCCGGAGGCTCCGGGCGCCGGGGCGCGCAAGTCCGGCAGAGGAAGGGACCCGACAGCCGTGGCGGCCCCCTAACGGCCCGCCAACCCTTCTGCCCGGCCCTGGCTCCCGCCGCCCCGGGACCCGGTCCGGCCCGCGGCCCACAACGACTCCCGGGTCGCCTCTCCCTCCCCCGCCCTCCCTCTTCTCCCCCGCCCCGACCCGGCCGGCACTCACTCAGGGAAGGAGGAGCGGCCCGGGCCTGCGCGTCACTTACGTCGACGTGTCGCGTCACCGCGCTGGGCTCCGGCTGACGCGGACGCCGACCAAGCGTCGACCACTGAGGAAACGGGCCACACCCCCACCCGCCCGCACTAGTGGAGGGCGGAGTCTACCGAGGGGTTTGACATGGGCGATGGTGAGGCCGCGGCCGCTACCGCTAGGAGGAGGAAATCTGGCCAAGGGGGCGCTGGGCCAGCTCTGAGCCAGGCCGTACCCGGGGCGGGGATCCTAAATCACCGCCTCTCCACCCACCCCTACCACGGGGCTCCAGGTGTGAGCGCTTCCGACCCGGACTACGGAAGGAGCGCGCAACGCGATCCGGGTGCGCTTTTATTCGGCGACTCCTCCAGCCCCGCCCCCTTTCCTCCCAAGCTTTAGGTCGGCCAGCCTTACCTAGCTCGTGATCCTCCTTGTCTCCTCTCCGGCCCTCAGAGCTTCTCTTCCCTCGCTCTCCCCTCTCGGGGCGAAACTCAACCCACACTGTTCCCTACCCCTAAACAGCACCTCGCCCTCCATTTCCTCGCGAGTGCCCGGACACTGCCTCCACTGGGTCTGGCCGGCGCACGTGCGCTCTCTCCGAGACCCGGGCGGCCGCGCCGCGGGCGGCGGCCACGGGCGCGAGCACGTTCCGGCCGCCTGGGACCTTCCTCCCGGGTGCCCGCCCTCTCCACGCTCGGCAGGCCCCACGTGTTTGCTGGGCTCAGAACCTGGATCTACTCCGGTTATTTACACATGATGCTATTACTACAGCTCTCCACTTCCAAGCCCCGCGCTTAAAGAGGCCAGTGACTTACAATCAGCCTCACTTGGCTGGGTCATTCACTCATTCTCCTGGGGAAAAAAAAAATGCTTTCGGAGGATAACAGGTTGAGATTTCCTTTTTTTCTCAGAAGAAAATAGAGTGGGGAATTAGGGGAAGACTCAAATAGCTGGCTATATGCAGGAGTGAGTGTAATCATTATTTCAACAGACACTTATTTAGAGCCAACGCTGTGCTAGGCACTGTTGAAGGGACTGAGAAATCAAGTGGTGAACAAGGGGTATGTGGTTTCTGCCTTCCTAATCTTAGTCTGATAGAGTAGATAGATATTTTGTACAGTTCATTGCCTGGGTGCAGAGTTCTGAGTGTTATGAGATGTGAAGAACAAGGTAATCTGGGGTGGGGTGGGAGGGTCAAGGAAAGCTAGTGACCTGTAAGAAGCAATATGAAGTCTGAGTGTTCTTAACCAAGTGTACAGCACATTCAGAGGCAACAAGATTATAGCATTTTGAGAACTAAAAGAATGTTGGTGAGACAGCCCCACAGGGGCCTTGTAGAGATGATAGATTTTCTTTTAATCGCAAAGGGAAACCTTGAAGGTTGAGCAGGATAGTGACATTTTAAGATTTACTTTTTAAAGAGAGAATTCTAGGGGCGCCTGGGTGGCTCAGTCGTTAAGCGTCTGCCTTCAGCTCAGGTCATGATCCCAGGGTCCTGGGATCGAGCCCCGCATCGGGCTCCCTGCTCGGCGGGAAGCCTGCTTCTCCCTCTCCCACTCCCCCGCTTGTGTTCCCTCTCTCGCTGTGTCTCTCTCTGTCAAATAAATAAATAAAAGCTTTAAAAAAATAAAAAATAAAAAATAAATAGAGAATTCTAGCCCCAATATGGACGATAGACTAAATGGGAGAAGATGCAAGTAGTGGGAGGCTATTAGTAATGTAGATGAAATCATGGTGGCAAATGGGATTAGAGAATTGGATGGAATCCAGAAATAGGATCAACACTGGCTGGAAAGCATGTCATGGGTACTAAATACATGTTGGATGTATTCATGGTGAGAGAAAAGAACACTCAAGAATGACTCCTAGATTTCTGGCTTGAGTGGATGGATTGTTGGAACAATTTTACCAAAATGGAGAATATAATTGGAGGAAATGGGAAGGGAAGAGATCATTTTAAGGAGACAACTAACTGCAGACGATGTCAACAAGTCATTTTATATATGGACCTGTATAGCATTTAGGGGAGAGAGCCAGTATTAGGGATTTGGAAATTTTTAGCATAAAGTGGGTATTGAAGCCATGGAAACAGATGATATTTTTTTTCATCCATCCTAATGCAAAATTAATTAATTAAGATTTTAATCCCAATATAGTTAACATACAGTTATATTAGTTTCAGGTGCACAATATAATGATTCAGTAATTCCATACATCAGCCAGTACTCATGAGGAAAAAGTACACTCCTCAATCCCCATCATCTATTTCACCCATCCCCCCACCCACCTTCCCTCTTGTAACCATCAGTTTGTTTTCTATAGTTAGAGTTAAGAATCTTTTTCTTGGTTTGTCTTTTTTTTCCTTTGCTTATTAAATTCCACATATGAGTGAAATTATATGGTATTTGTCTTTCTCTGACAGACTTACTTCACTTAGCATTATACTCTCAAGCTCTACCCATGTCCTTGCAAATGACAAGATTTCATTTTTTAAATGGCTGAATAATATTCCATTGTATATACATATACCACATCTTTATCCATTTATCTATTGATGGACACTTGGGTTACTTCCATAATTTGGCTATTGTAAATAATGCTGCTATAAACATAGGGGTGCATGTGTCCCTTTGAATTAGTGTTTTTGTATACCCAATGGTGTGATTCCTGAATTGTAGCGTAGTTCTATTTTTAACTTTTTGAGGAACCTCTGTACTGTTTTTCAGAGTGCCTGCACCAGTTTGCATTTCTACCAACAGTGCAAGAGGGTTCCTTTTTCTCCACACCCTCGGCAACACCTGTTCTTGTGTTTTTGATTTTAGCCATCCTGACAGATGTTAGGTGATATCTCTATGTGGTTTTAATTTGCACTTCCCTGATAATGGTTGATATTGAACATCTTTTCATGTGTCTGTTGGCCATCTATGTAGAAATGTCTGGAGAAATGTCTGTTCATGTCTTCTGCCCATTTTTCAATGGGATTATTTGGATTTTTTGGTGTTGAGTTGTATGAAGTTCTTTCTATGGATACTAACTCTATTGAGTATGTTATTTACAAATATCTTCTCTATTCAGTAAATTTCCTTTTAGTTTTGTTGTTTCCTTTGCTGTGAAGAAGCTTTTTATTTTGATGTAGTCCCAATAGCTTATTTTTGCTTTTTCTTCCCTTGCCTCAGGAGACAGAGCTAGAAAAATATTGCTATGGCCACTGTGTGTCTTTAAAGCTGAGGTGAGTCTCTGGTACTGCCTATGCCCTCTTCTAGGATTTTTATGGTTTCAGGTCTCACAGGTCTTTCATCCATTTTGAGTCTATTTTTGTGTATGGTGTGAAAAAGTAGTCCAGTTTTATTCCTTTACATGTTTCTGACCAGTTTTCCCAACACCAGTTGTGGAAAAGACTATCTTTTTCCCATTGGATATTCTTCCCTGCTTTGTCGAGATTAATTGACCATATAATTGGGCTTTCTATTCTGTTCTATTGAACTATATGTCTATTTTTGTGCCAGTACCATACTGTTTTGATTATTACAGCTTTGTAATATAACTTGGAAGTCCAGAATCGTGATGCCTCCAACTTTCCTTTTCAAAATTCCTTGGCTATTGGGTCTTTTGTGGTTCCACATAAATTTGAGGATTGTTTGTTCTAGTTCTGTGAGAAATGCTGTTGGTATTTTGAGAGGGATTGCATTAAATCTGTAGATTGCTTTGGGTAGTATAGGCATTTAAACAATATTTGTTCTCCCAATTAATACTTGAGCACAGTATGTCTTTCCATTTATTTGTGTTGTCTTCAATTTCTTTCATCAGTGTTTTATAGTTTTCAGGATACAGGTTGTTTACCTCTTTATAGGTTTATTCCAAGGTATCTTATTATTTTTGGTACAATTGTAAATGGGATTGTTTCCTTAATCTCTCTGCTGCTTCATTATTAGTGTATAGAAATGCAACAGATTTCTGCCTATTGATTTTGTATCCTGCAACTTTACTGAATTCATTTATCAGTTCTAGTATTTTTTTTTGGTGGAGTCTTTTGGTTTTTCTATATAGAGTATCATGTCATCTGCAAATAGTGACGGTTTTACTTCTTCCTTACTGATTTGGATTCCTTTTATTTCTTTTTGTTGTCTGATTGCTCTGGCTAGGACTTCCAGTACTATGTTGAATAAAAGTGGTGAAAGTGGACATCCTTGTCTTGTCCCTGACCTTGGGGGAAAAGCTCTCAGTTTTTCTCCCTTTGAGTATGATGTTTGCTGTGGGTTTTTCATAGATGGCCTTTATTATGTTGAGGTAGGTTCTCCCTCTAAACCTACTTTGTTGAAGGCATTTATCATGAATGGGTATTGTTTTTTGCTGAATGCTTCTTCTGTATCAAAATGATCATATGGTTTTTATCCTTTTTCTATTGATGTGATGTATTATGTTGATTAGTTTGCAAATATTAAACCACCCTTGCAACCTGGAAATAAATCCCACTTGATCATGGTAAATGATGTTTTTAAAATGTATTGTTGGAGGGGCGCCTGGGTGGCTCAGTCGTTAAGCGTCTGCCTTCGGCTCAGGTCGTGATCCCAGGGTCCTGGGATCGAGCCTCACATAGGGCTCCCTGCTCGGCGGCGGAGAGCCTGCTTCTCCCTCTCCTACTCCCCCTGCTTGTGTTCCCTCCCTCGCTATGTCTCTCTCTGTCAAATAAATAAATAAAATCTTTTAAAAAATAAAATAAAATAAAAAATAAAATGTATTGTTGGATTCAGTTTGCTAGTATTTTGGTGAAGATTGTTACATCTATGTTCATCAGAGAAATTAGCCTGTAGTTCTCTTTTCTTGGTGTATCTTTATCTGGTTTTGGTTAAAATGTCCTCATAAAATGAATTTGGAAGTTTTACTAATCCAATCTTCCTTGCTAGTAA